TCCGCTGGCTTCAGCGTTAATGTCAGGCCACCTCCTTGCTATGTCCCAATGACTATTTCTGAGACTTATGAGTGATGGGGTTCTAGTCTTCCCTCTTCAAATTTCTGAGCTAGCAGAATTCTGAATCTAGGGAATGAAAGTTCCCTAGGTTAGCTTTGTAAGATGATTTGCTCTTTGGGACTATAACCTAACTTAGTCATCTGACTTAGTTTCCTATCAAATAAGGTAATTAGTACATGTGTGCACACACAAAAAAGGCTCTGGAGTCAGGGGACTTGGGTTCAAATCTTACCATTGATGACTGTTATCTATGTGACTTTGAGCGTATTAAATTACCTCTCTAGATGTCAGCTTCCTCACCTGTGGGGGGGAAAAAAAAGCAAGAGAGATGGACTATTTGTCAATAACAGTCAATGGGCATTTGTTAGGAGGAAATATGTGCCAGGCACTGGGCTAAGTGCTAGGGATAGAAAGAAGGTAAGAGGCATTCATGGCCTATGAGGTTCTTTCCAGCTTTAACTCTGTGAAAATCAAGCCTTTTAAATAACTTCCTTCACAACATAACCTTATGATGGCTGGGCAAGTATTATCTTCATTATCCTAATGAGGAAACAGGGGCTTGGTGAGGCTAACTAGCATGGCTCTGGTCACACAGCAAATAAGTGTCAAAGCCAGGACCCAATACCACATCTCCTCAAGTACAGGATTTTTTGCTACTCTATCACACACCAATCATGGGTATCATGAGTAATAATTACCATCTATTCATTTTCTTTCTGTGATCCAATACAATGAAGCATAAAAGTGGAGTTATTTTTATCTCTCCTTCCTTTTCTGTGAATACATACCCTTTAATCTGATTAGTTTGGGCCTATCTCCTTGTAAGCTTATTTTTCTAAGATTGCTCAAGAAAATGACAATTGTGAGAACTGTCATTTAAATTACTAGAAAGATTCAGCAGCCTTTAATCACTGCAGATTTTTCTCCATTTGTAATAAACTCAAAATACTCTCTTTAGATGACATTTAAGTGGAATTTATGTTTGAAGAGTGTCAGCAAGGTTAAAAAACGTGTAACAGCAACTGACAGATTGTGTTGAAAAATCTACAGGGACTCAGATTGAAACATATTTTTATTTCAGGTCCTACACCCACTGAACTTCTCAGCAATACTAACATACACATGCAGGGACACAAAATTCAGCCCATGGAAAGAAGGGGAACTAAATCAGAACTGAAATACTCCCAGGAAAATCTAAAAGGAGGTACCTAACTAAAAGAAAATGGCCATCTTAACCATTCCCAGAACTGTAGTTAATATTCCAATTAAACATTTTACCCATCTAAACATATATTTAAAAGTAATTTAGGAGATTAAAATGTTTTATTTATTTATTTACAGAAAAGAGAGTAGAAAGTACATTATAGTTAGGGCTAGAAGGTCTGGGTTCAAGGTTCAGCTCCGATGCTTCCACCTCTCTGAACCTCAGTTTCCTCATTTGGAAAATTGAGCTAACCTTCCTACTACCAACTTGTGAGGAAAAGTGCTCTGTAAATCTTAAAGTCTCCCACACCTCCAAATTGCTTGTATAATTTCACTGGTGTGGAGAACACCCAGGGAAGGAAATTCCATTCACCAATGCAAACTTATACCTCCAGTGCAATTTATAGTGTTAGAGAACTGCCTGGGGAAACAGGTTAAGTGACTTGCCCAGAGTCACACAGACAGAATGCGTCAGATACTGGCCTTGGTAGAGAGAACCCAGGTCTTTCTGACCCTGAGGCAAACTGTCTATCTACTATACACAATTCTCTCCTTAAACATTAAAGCAGAGATTGGGGCTGGACCTGTGATTTCACTGATATGAGGACCTTCAAGGTGAGGAAATTTTCTCTACCATGCCAGTTACTACATTCTCTGCAATTTATAAATTTTAAAGATGTGCCTAGAAAACTGAGAGTAAGTTACTTGTGAATTATTTTTTTCTACATTTTTTTTCCCGAAATTGGAATGCAGAAAGTTTTCACCTTCACATTGCTGACTTTTATTTACCGTCTTTAGTATATTTTCTATACAGAGAGAGGAAAAGGCATTCCAAAAAAGGGAGAATGGAAGATTGTCTTAAGTAAGGAATTTTTCATCTTGAACAGCTCAGAAGAAGCTAGGGAAAAACTGGGCAGGGGGTGAGGTTGTTTGAGGGGAGTGTGGAAAGAAGGACCTGAGAATAACAGGTTGCTCCTAGAAAACTTGACCAGAAGACCTGATGTTAATTCTGGCAAGTCCAGGTAATATAACCACCTTTTTGTCACTGTTCCTTCCAAATCTCTCCCAGGAAACCAAGATAAGGTGCTACATACAACCTTACCTACTCAAATATCCTTCCAAAGGAAAGAAAGAAGTTACCTCACATCTGGGGTCCACGAAACCATTCAAAGGGGTACTGGGAATGAGTGTCCTGTCTAATCCCCTTGCTTGGCCTGGTCCTCTGAACCTTGAGGGCCAGCAGTCCTCTTAACAAGCCTTCACACAGCGGTGCTAAGGACAAAATATGGAAAAGAAAAAACCTGTTTTAAAAAATACTTTAAGGAATTGTTGTTTTCTAAGTGTGGAGATTCTGCAGATTCATCACCATTCTTATGGTATTTAGTGGTGGATTTATCCCATGTACAATGATCTTTACCTGTAGGAACTTCTCATTTGTCTCTTTTCCCACTTCCCAAACTGTGAATGCCTCAATCAGCACCATGGATACTGCTCAGTTTGTGAATAGCCCAATATTAATACAGAATTGGGGAGAGTGGTGTCTACACCTGTAATTTTATCCATTTAGGGAATTCCCGGGGAAACTACAACTAGCAGTTCAGATAGCCGACTAATAGTCTTAGAAAGATACCTTTAGGTACTAAGAGGGTAAGCAATTTGCCAAGACTTTCACAACCAGTATGAGTCAGAGGGCAGACTTTCATCATTCAATCTATCTGTCAATAAACTTTTAAGTGCCTACTATGTACCAGGCATAGAACTAATCAATAAAGATAGAAGTAAAGGTCTCTTCCCTTATGGAGCTTATATTTTATTGGGGGAGACAACATATGTGTGTGTGTGTGTGTGTGTGTGTGTGTGTGTGTGTGTGTGTACATAAACATTTATAGGTACTGGACCTGTAATTTCACTGATTACAGAATTACTGGGTGAGGCAGCTTCCTCTTGCAATATTGGTAGTACTTTCTTTGCAACTCACTCTTAGAAAGTTACCTAAAATATTGGGGAGTTAAATGATTTGCCTAAGGTCACATGGTCAGTTTTTTTTTTTTATCACAGGCAGGATTTGAATTTAGGTCTTCCTGATTTCAAGATTAGCTCTCTATCCATAAGATCACAGGTCTGCTCAAGTATTTATACACTATATACTTATCTTTCTCTCATACAATTGTTTAACATGATCTTTTACTCTTGGTACTTCTTTTACTGCTTGCAGTCCGCTCAAATGCACCATGTGACTTTCCATTGCCCTTTGTATGATGCTCATTTTTAATTCTTCACATACAGTGGTATTATGGGACACAGCAATACCAGTAAAATGTTCCCATTGAAAAGATGGACTTTTGCTACTAAGAGAAACTTGGGGGGTCAGTAATAGTGCTTTACAAACTCCAGAGAACAATCCAGTCTTCTCTCTTCCTTCCTTTCAACTCTGGGACCATATGGATTATCAGTCCTATTTATACACACCGTTGAACAAGTTATACAGGATGTCCATTCAGAAGCTTGTTAAAATCTGGGCAACAGATGCTCTTCATTCCTTTGGTCCTTTCTGGGTGGATGGACAGACCAAACTCCTTTGAGTCGGTAAGTCAATAAACATTTATGTGCCAGGAACAGTGCTAGGTGATTATAGAATCTCTTCCAACAGACTTTACAATGTTTTGGGGCTTGATGCAATGGACAGGGAATTCTTCTTCAACCTAGACTCTGCTGGATCTCATCTATCATTATAGCAAATACCTTTCACGAGCTTATATTTCCTTGCTTTATGCCTTACCTGATTTTTCTTATCAGCAGGTCACTGAACAGAATTAATTACTTTTACATATACCAAAGGATCTTGAATGATCTCGACAGATGTTTGGCAGGCACTTTGTTGTAAGAGCCTGTAAAACTGTGTTTTTGTCCCACTGAGTCCAATGCTTTTTTGTTATCAGCAAACAATAAGGCAGCAGGATCTTATATCTTCCCAATCCTTCAGTCAATTGTGAGATGTAGATATACCTCATTGTTGAATATCATTCAGGAAATTGTTTGTTCCCTACTAATACTGTCACTGAAGAGGTCCACAATTCGTAGATAGATGACATTCATAAAGATTTTGTGTAGATGAGAGGACAGGTATAGAGGTCATTAATTGTTGATCTTTTCTCAATTAACTTTTTTTATCTATAAGGTCTGAATTTTTTACATCTTTGATATCTTCCCCTGCCTTAGATACCTTATCTCTCAATATCTTCATAATGGAATCATCTTGAGAACCAATCTCCTTTATATGTATAATCAAGACGCTTTTCCCTTCTTCATTCTTTTCAAAGCTACTTCTATTTCCTCTGTGTCTTACAGACTGAATGTTAAGGTCCAGGTGTGGTATTCCCACTATTCTTGATGGAGAAAACAATTTGCATAATGATTTAAGCAAGTCTTTTTTCATTTTTCTTCTGTTTGTAGTCCCTCTTATGAAACATAATGAAATAAAACTATTAAAAGACTGAGGTAAAGATGTAATAAACAATATTAAAATAATTTAGTAATAAAAATTGTTTTCAATAATAATTTTTAATGAGAGTAGTGTGATTAAATGTTTTATTATTTCTGAAAAATTCCTGTTTGTGTCCCTGGAGGATAGAGTGAAATTGTAAATAACTGTTAGCAATTAATTAAACAATCATTTTTAACAATGCAGCTAGCTAAGGAGATGAATGTCAACTCTAAAAAATCACTTCCACCAAAGCTGGAAACTGAGGTATTTATTTCTTAGTACTGAGTTGGCTGTAGGGTATCCCAGTGAAGGGATCTGGTGGGAAGTTTGGAGCATGCTAGGGTTGGGATGGGTAAATTTTCCCAATAGAGCCTGAGTGACAACTCTAAGTACTAGGAAGAGGGTGGGAACTTGCACAGAGCTTGAGGAGGGGGAATGGGGAAAAGATAGAGGTAGAGTGGGAGAGAGGCAAAAATGTGAGACAGGAATTGTGGTGGTGTTTGAGACATGCCTTGTGCATGGATATTGCAGTGAGGGTAGGGAATCATGTCCGTCTTCAAGAGGTCACTCATCTAGTCCAAGTCCATTTTATAAACGGGGAAACTGATGCTTATAGAGGTGAGATGACTTGCCCAAAAATCATACCAATAATTAGTGGCACAGCTGGAATACAAATTCATCTCTTGTTATTGTCTGCTTCATCATCACTCTCTGCTTTGTCCCTTTGGTGAAGAACAGATACCAGATATAGCTGAAAAAGGTATTGGTTAAGTATCCCCTCTCCAGTCATAGTCCAGGCTTCCCTGAACACATTACAAGTAATTACTATTATGCTAAAAGTGCTTTATTTTTGTCATGAAATACATTCATTACACAGGAGGTATTAATATATTTGACAAAACATAATGTCCTCATGAGGAAAAAGTAATACAGAGCAGGAGTAAGTGGAAGATTACATATAGATATATATGGAAGAGACTGGAAGAAATCTATTAAAAGCTTCAGAATAACAATAATCTTCAAGCATCATGGTGATACTCCCAGTGAACTATGGCTATTATTTAATCCCAAAATTAAATAAAAAGGAACTAACATCGTATTTACCATCTTAAGAGACTGAGAACCAGATATGCTATACAAGTTAAAAATAATTAGCATCCTGGGATAATCTCTATTCCTGGTCCATTTTGGGCCCACTGAAAGAAATCACACTGTTTATCCTTCCTGAGGGGACACACAAAAAAGTTTCTTCCATTATTAGGACCAAGTTTCAACACAGTCCTCATGATCGAGCGTTTTCCATGGTTGCAGAATGGAAAAGATAAATCAGCCCACTGAAAATGGAAAATAAAGAGATATTATAAACTTATAAAGATGATATAATGCTATGTATGATAGCTGGGAATAGGTACACTATGATAACTTTAGAAAGAAATGAGTTCTTGCCCCCAAGGGGCTCAGTGCCTAAGAAAAGTTAGTTCTTCCTTCTCCCCCTTCCCCAATCAGCTAAAATTTCCTGGATAATTTCTTTAATTGCCCATTTTAATTAGCTTTTAGGTTTTCCTCCACTTTCATAAAGATATTAGTGAAAATTATACTGTACATTGACTGTAATGCAGATGTAATGTCTAAGATATAACATATCTGGCACATAACAGGTGCTTAACAAATGTTTAGTGATTATTATCTATGGTAAATAGATGATGATAAATCCAGTTTCAGGGTTATATCTTTAGAGACAGAAGTGATGTTAGGGGTCATCTAGTTCAATTCCTTCATATAACTCTGTTATAAGGAGATGGAGACTCAGAGAGGTTATGAGTTTTGCCCACAACCACACAGCTAGTCATATTTGAACCCAGGTCTTAATGACTCAAATATAGTTTACTCTAGGACAATATTATTGTTAAGGCACAGTTTTGAATACATAGTCCAACATTAAATTCCCCTTATCCAAAAGAGGGGGGAGGGGACATGGTGGTTGAGATAGACATACCTTTGTGGAATTTTACACTACAATATTTCAGTGAGATTCCAGTATATTAATAATGTCAGTCACTAGCATCGATTAAATGCCCAATATCTATAAAAGCTTCCTAGGGAGTGAAACCACATATATTCTCTCCCATCCTTTATTACTCAAACAAACACACACACACACACACGTAGCACGTGAAGTCAGGACTATGAGATTCTTATCTCAGATTTGCTATATGGGTAAATCTCTTAATCCTATTCTTTATACATAAGCTAAGGATAATACTTCTTTTCTCAGGGGGGACAAATTAATGTTTGAAAAGCTCTGTGGAGGAGGGATGTGATAAGTCCTATTAACTGGGTTTTAATAAACTTTTTGCTGAGTCTCATTGATTTTTAAGTTACTTATTATCTGGTCTTCAGAAAGCATAGCAATGGGGGCTTTTAATTTTTTAATCTGAAAAGGAGATTTTTGTAGGAAAATTGTTACCTATTACCTTGTAGTAAATATATGCAAATTTTTTTAAAAGTTTTTTTTTACTATCTTTATTATATAATGTTCAATGAACCTTATACTTACTTCAAAAAATCCACACTGGCTTCCTCTAGGTAAAGGACAAGCATAAAACTGCCTTCCCTTGCTTTCCCCATCCTTCCTCACAACTCGAAGAATGCAGACGCGGTTATGTTTATTACAGCGAGGACTGTTAATGTTTTTGGTACAAGTATTATCTGTCATGTTAACTTGAAGTTCACTGAAATGATAGGTTACAAAATAACTCCAGCTTAATCGTTCTAAAGAGATCATTAACACCACCACTGCTCCCCACCTAGAAAAAACCAACTACTAATAAAATGATCAGGAATGGACCTCTGGTCAACCATGGACAAGAATGTATATGGCATAAATCTTTTCTAGGCCACTCTGCAAATGATTTTCATGATGTCCAAGATTCTTCCATATCTAAAGGCTACAATGAGTACTGTAAAGAGCAAGACTACAATTTTCATCTAAGACACAAGAATGGCTATTTTTTCTTATGCTCCTTTTTCTTGCCCCGCCCCCTACTGAAGTGTTGCTACTTTATCACCTTTAAAATATTCTCAATTTCTGCTCTCCTGTTAGCCCTCTTTTCTCTTAGATTAAATTTCATTTTTGTCCAATTATCAGGCATTTTTTTTCTCTTTCTTGCGTTCCCCAAATTCCACAAAAAGAAAACCTTCAATCTTTCCAAAGATAATTTTTCACCCACAGTAAACTCTAATAGTCATTACTAACCATAGAGAACATCCCCTTTACTGTCCAATTAAGGGTGATTTTCCACACTTCTCCTTGATCAAGGCCACTATAATGGTGCCAATCAAATTTTAGCAAAAACAAACAGTCTCTGCTAGCAGAGTAGAGATGGCTGTTTTATGAAGCTGCTAGGGAAATTTTATTCTTGCCATTATGACTAAGATATGTGGAGGTAATACATATATACAGGGAAAAAAAAGAAAGACTCAAATAGGTCTTTCTAATGTCAATTTGCAGAATACTTGCTTTGAAATGAATATCTTCATTATGATGATTCTTCATTTTTTAATTTTTTATATTTTTCATAATGCTGTTTTAATAGCTTACTTAGTCTTTTATGGGATCAGTCAGAGGGAAGTAGTATTTCCCAGTTATTAAAGCCAAAGGTTAAAAAAAATCACAAAGGGAGGCACCCCTTTAAAATAAGTCAGCAATAATAATAATATGAAATTTTTATCTATAATGTCCACAGAGACTTTTCTCAGGAATTGCTACATTTTAAAAAATAGTACATACCATAATGAACTTAATATCTTTTGCATCTAAAGCTAAACTGTGCTTTACTCTCTTTTAGAATGGTACTATGAGAACGAATAACATCTCAGCAGATCCTGAGTCTCCTACAATGAGAGAATTCTTTATTTTAACAAAATTTCAGCATAACCCATGCTGCAGAATATTTTTAGATTATAGCTTGATGTCACAGAAAATGAGCAGACATGGATGGACTACAACCTATATCACTAAAGGGAGTATCTGTATTGATGAGCTCACTGGTCCTGTTAAAGAAATGAATCTATTGGGGCAGCTAGGTGGCACAGTGGATAGAGCACCGGCCCTGAAGTCAGGAGTACCTGAGTTCAAATCCGGCCTCAGACCAAACACTTGACACTTACTAGCTGTGTGACCTTGGGCAAGTCACTTAACCCCAACTGCCTTAAAAAAAAAAAGAAAAGAAATGAATCTACTAATACTAAATTTAGGGCTTATTTTTAAAACTCATTTTCAAATTGATTTTATTCAACATCTAATATTACTGAGATGGATGCTATTGATTGCTAGTCTTTTCTAAGATCAGAAAGGGTTCTTATAGAATATCTAATTAAATGTCCTTATTTCTATTTTTTTTTAATTGTGAATTTAACAATCAACAGACATGAACAGTGGAACTTACTGATGAAATAGCTGAGTGAATAGAACAGATCATCAAGCTATCCCTCAAATTCATACCAGACCAAATAATGATCAAGAAATTCATTGAGAAGCTGGAATACATTAGTTTTTCCACTATAGAACTGAATAAAAAGTTAACCAGAAGCTGATGGGCAAGAAGAAAGGAGGCTCTTACAGTAAAGCAAGTGCCAGTATGTCCAGGGGAACACGTAGTCTATAAGAAGCAAGAGAGGACAAATTCTCTGAGAAAGACCCAGGGTGGCCCTAGGTCAAAAACTATGGAAGGATCAGCGCAGTGTTGCAGTGTTCAGGTGACAGGGCTAAGTAAGATCTGGTCAGTGTAGGCTCAGGAGCTCTCAAATCCCCCAACACTGCCATAGATGGCACTGAAGATCCATCTCAAAGATCCAGGAAGCTGAACCTAGGAGGTGGAGGTCAGCCAGACAATAAACCCAATGGATCTAGGTTAAGAACAAGCAGAACCAAAATGCAGCAAAGGGCAGAGCCTGACTCTGGCACAAAACCCCAATTCTAGAACTAAAGTGAGAGAGATGATTAAATCAAAGAAAACACCAATCAGTATAGAAATTACTGCAGACCTGGAGATTCCCGCAAAGGGAGAGAATAACTGCACAATATCTAAGGCTCAAAGGAAAAATGGATTTACCAACAGGGCTACATGAATTACACTTTAGGAAAAATAATTGTAATGAGAATAAGTAACTTAGAAAGCAAAGTGATAATCTTTATTCAAGAAATGGATTCCCTGATAACTAGAGCAGACCAAACAGAAATCTATGACTCCATGAGCTAGCAAGAAATATTAGAACAAAATTTAAAAATTTAAAAAAAAATAGAAGAGAACGATATCTGACCAAAAAAAAAAAAGATCTGGAAAACAGGTCAAGGAAAGATAGTTGAAAAGTCACTGAACTGAAATCTGTTTGTGTTTTTTTTTAAAAGCCTAGACACTATTTTCAATAAATCATAAATAAAAAGCACCCAGATTCAACAGAACCAGAGGGCAAAGTAAAGATAGAAAGAGTCAACTAATCATTTCCTGAAAGAAACCCAGAATGAAAAAAAGTCCCTGGGGTGTTATAGCCAAAATCCTGGGCTTCCATATCCAAGAAAAAATACTGTGATCATCTAGAAAGTTCAAGTTTGAAAAAAACACAGTCTGGATCACATAAGTTGTGGCAAACTTCTATGAGGAGATCTTGAAATCCAATATTTCAAAAGGCAAAAGAGAGAGGCTTACAACCAAAAATAACTTAGCCCACAACCTAAATATAATAAGAGAGAAACAAGTAATCTTTTAATAGAGGACTTTCAAGCATTTCTGATGAAAAGACCAAAGCTGAATACAAACACAGGAGTTAAGGGAAACCTATGAAAACAAGTTTATGTGAGCAATGAGGAGGAGCTGTCATCATTTCCCCTAACTCGTATGTGTGAGAAGAGTATATGTACAAAATACAGAGGAAAGAATAGAGGAAGGAGGCTTAAGATGAACTTCACTCAAAACTAAAATATTACCTTCAGATCTTCAATATCCATGCACAAAATAAATCATAGCATCTTATAGACATAGTCTTTGTCCATTTGAAGGTGAGGAAACTGGGGCCCAGAAAGGGGAAGGGGCTTGCTCAGGTAATTAAACCAGGCCAAATATAAATCCTCAGTAAGAAAAGCACAAAAGAAAACAGGTAAAAGCCAGTCTGCATTAGGGACACTGCAATAGTGATTTGAATAAGATCTTCTGAACATCACCTTAAAGGTAACTGAATACAAAGGTCACTTTGATGGGTTTTTTAAAATCTTTTCACCTCCTTAGGTTACATATCTGTCCTGGACTCAGTTTACTTATCTGTAAAATGAAGTAGAGTTATATTTGATCTCTAAATTTCCTTTAAGTTTTAGAGCAGGAGTTTTTTAGCCTTTTTTAACCTTTTCAGAATGTTTTTAAATGCATAAGATTACAAAGGAAACCAAATATATTAAAATAGTTATCAGAATATGTTTTTTTTAAAAAACCCACTACTAACAAGTCCATAAACCTCAGGTTAAGAGCTCTTGTTCTAAAAGTGAGGATACTTTGATTGTCAGAGCATTGTTTCTTCTATAAAAAAAGAAAAAAGTATACATTAACTCACATTACTGTGCTTTATTTCTAATTATATTATATATGATTATATATAATATATAATACATATATAATTATATTCTAATTATTATAATGCTTCTTAAACAGCTCACAATTCTTAACTAGTAAAATAATTGGTTCAACCAACTAATTTTTAATTTAGTTTGATGAAATTCTAACTTTTATTTTCTTAAAGACTACAATGGAAAATGGCTTATCTCTTTAGTAGAAAAAGGGTAACGGCTCACAGAATGACTATATGGGTAATGAGTATGATAGTGTTCAATCGACTACTATGTCAAATGATTATTAAGGTCAAATTGGACTGGTAACAGTCTGTGATTGAACCACCAGTCCTAGAGTAAATAGGACTCCATGAGCTTCTGCTGGGAATCTTGACCAAAAGATGAACACTGCGTCTTCCAGACAAAGAGAAAAAAATTAAACAAATAACTATAATTTACAATTTACTCCTTGTAAAGTAGCTGGATGTACAAGGGCTTCTGGGAGAATCTATTTCATCCTTGGACATTTATTCTGCTAGTTGATCTTGACAGATCGTAGTGAACCAATCACGGCTCAGCTATAGTCAACATGTACATAATGTACCAGCATTTCTAAAAAGTACACCAGGCCATGTTTAATCATCTAGTTTGGCTGCCAATGACTTATAAAGAAATAATTTTTAAATTATAGATTTAAGCCCTTGATTAATTCAATTGTTCATGATTTGCTGTTAGTAAAAATAGAGAAATTTAATAATTCCACATAATTTCAGTATATTTAAAAATTATCACTATTTCTCTCTTCTCTGGAAATATGGAGCCAAGCAGGATGTTCAGAGGTTATTTTCAAGTATCAGACATTTTACCAAATCAGGGAGAGGGATACTTTTCCTAAATCAGATTTCATTTTATCCTAGAGGATAGGCAGCTAGATGATAGAGTGCTGGGGTTGGTGTCAGGAAGACATGAGTTCACATTCAGTCAGATACTTCCTAACTGTGTGATCCCTGATAAGTCACTTACTTTCCTGCCCACCCTATTTCCTCACCTGTAAAATGGGAGCAATAGCATCTAACTCTGAGGGTTGTTACAGGGATAAAATGACTTAGTTTGTATGAAGTGCTTTGCAAACCT